ATCGGCAAATCAGAAACATTTGTGTGTGGAATTGAAAAATTCAATTCAGGGGAACTTGCCCTTTTTTTTCATGCCAAAATCTCAAAAGTTAATGAATAACCAATATATTTATCTGGATAAACTTGAAATGGGCTTAAACAGTATTCATGATTACTAAATTTGAACAGCTCATGTCTCTTCTTCGTTTCATGTATGCTTGATGAAGATCCTTGATATCATTACGATTTTTATGCTAGGCTGTTTCTATGAGGCATTTGTTAGAATTACCCATAGCAGTGTATTCAGCTTATAGTTATTATTTTATGGAATAGAATGAATGATGTGTGACTGCTTGTCCACTGAGTGGTCTGAGACATTGTCTGTCGAGTGACGATATTCACTTTAATGAAAATATTCACTATGCTGTTACACAGAAAAAAGGTAGATCAGCATTACCTTTTTTTGCTGTAAATAATTACTTTGCAGCTTCCTTTGAACACTGTTGTAAGTTAAGCTATTACATTCCTCTAAAGTATGGAAAGAGACCAGAAAAATGTTGTTCTGACTTATGTTCATCACGTTAAGTTCTAACTACTAACCATGTTTGCATACATCTTTGTAATTCTTTCATTTTTACTAGACTACTTTCAACCATTAAGAGTAGTAAAATTGTAATATATTAAATTTAAAACGACATGGTTTTAGAAAGATATGAAGTCCGTTGCATTGGGAAGACGAAAATTTCAGCAAATACGTATTTTCACTCATTATTTCGTAGCCTTAAAATTTTCATACTCATATACTCTCGGTTTTATAACGAGATGTGGTCATTTTGTATGCATTTTCATTTGACGTAAAGACTTATCCTTTTATGCCCAGTTAATTAAATTTTTGGGAAGCATTTTCTGCATACGATCATAGAGCAAATCTCATGATATAGATATGCTATATGCCGCATACTTCATAATTAGCATGTTGGAATCAAGTCCGATGATGAACTCTATTAGATGAATATACTAACCAAATCATGTGAAACAACTAGCGCAATCAGCTACAATAATCTTTTATGTTGTAACGGAGTACTAAATCTCTTAGATTTGCAATCGTTATGCAGTGCAAACCACACAGAGGAAAATCGAAGTTCTTTTGCTAAGTCGTTTAAAATGGATTTTCAATGAGGTACCGTTGCATTTCTTTCCTTTGACCAAGCAGTATTCGTTAGGTAGACAGCTAAAGTACCTCGTTCATCTTGGTTATACTTTATCGACCAGTTGCAATTGTTTTGACTCTTTTGTAGAACTTGCTGACTGATTCAAAATAGGTATGTTACAGCAGGTTCAAGAACGCCAAATAATTTATCATTTTGCCTATCTGAGATAGCCGTGGTTTGGCAGGTTAGTATTTATACTGAATGATGATTGAAGGTGAAATGAAAATTTGGACTGCGTCCGTATTCGAACCAGCGATCACCGGGTTTCTGACCCGGTGCTCTACGGCCTAATGACTCAGTTGGAAAGAACACCGAGCCGGAAAGCCGGTGGCCTCTGGTTCGAATCCGATCGCAGTCCAAATTTTCACTTCACCTTCAATCATCACCCAGTATAAATGCTAAATAATTTGACTACAGTATAAGCATTTCGATAAATGCCGTGAATAAATCTAAGGAATAATGCATGACGATAAATATTGAACTACACAAACAGTAATATGTTTTCTATTAGGTGGAGAGTATTTTTGTATTTGTTGGTCTGTTAAGAGATTTATTATGTTTTTAAAATGTGTTCAAAAATGTTGAATGTAAAAGTAACCACCAAAAATGGTGGTTATGAATAAAGGGATCTAAAGGTGCTGCTAGTGCCGGCTTCCGGATGTATATAATTTAGAACGTATAGACAGTCAGCTACTGATATATGTTCAGCTTCTCAAGGATTCCGATAAATTCCACCCATCAAGAAATTCCATTAATGTTTTTATAAGCAAGACAGATTGGCAAGTCTTATCAGCATAAAAACCTAGCATAACTAATTCAGCGACCGTTCAAGTTGCCAGAATCCATCAAGAAACAATTGTCAAAGAATTGTGCTATATATTTCCACGTCATTTTTTGAGGAAGTGTACGGTAAGACTACACTGTCACTATAACTACTGCTTTAAAAATACCGACTATTAACTTTTTGGATCATGGGTTTAAACTCATGCTGTTTCCAACCTGAGTGTCAGGCCAATGTCATAAACTATCACCTGATAAGTTTGGTTTATAGGATGACACCAAGATGGGCCTGGTGTTGCTGATTAGGGTTATGTTGTGGTTAATTTTGCACCATTGCTAGCTAGTGAAATACGTTCTTATGAATGCATTTTACCTCAATTTTGAAATAAATTCCTTTAGAGGTTGTTTTATAACATTCTGCGTATCATGACAGTGATATGAACACGTTCTAGTTGCTAAGGTTTTATCACTTTAGTATGACCTTTGGTCTGTATTAGGTGAAGCTGTTACTTTAGAAGAAGACCTCCTAACCACCCTGTCATGATTAAAATGATTGATTTTGTTGCAGTTTACAGTTAATTTACATACTTTGGCAGTTGAATAAGCCTTGATCTAATTTTATAGACTTTTTGAATCAAAAACGCATAATAATCTTGCTGATTCCCAGTCCTTCTGCTCCACGTTAGTATGTGATAGGCTTCATTGTGCTAAAATCAAGGTATCGTACTCCTTCGTCAATTGGTTAGTGATTCGAAGTATGTTAGTTGATGTAGATTTTTGTATGAGTTTTGGTGACGCAGATGGCATAAGTTAATGTTCATTCTAGTGGTTTTAGAATGTGTTCATTCTTTGCTCTATTCTATCCAGTTGATACGTTTTTTTTTCTGCTGTGGCTTATTTATCTAAGGAGATGACTTTCAACCAGTCGGTCAGGGGTTTGAACCCCGCTCCACCTACCGAGGTTTCAGAAGCCAGATAGTATCGCTAGCCCTCACACAATAGGTGTGGCTTATTGCCTACTGTACTAATGGGCACAAGGTTGCTGAGTGCATTTCGATTTCCATATTTTTTCTGCAAATTTTATTTTATTATTATTATTTGTTCTTTGGGTTCCTAGTCGAACATAGGGCTTCAGTAGCACGTCGCCATTTCACTTTCCAGTTCTCTACAGTCATTTCAACCTGACTCCACCACTACCCACAATCTTTCATTTCTTCCAATCATGATCTCCATGTCACCCTTGGACGCCCAACTCGTCATTTCTCCTTTAGGTCCCGCTTGAGGGCGTGGCCTGGCGCCTGATGTTCCCGAATGGTCTTCTCAGTGTACGTGCAATACAATCCATCTCCACTTTCTGCTCCACGTTTGTTAGGCGATGGCTGTTGTTTGGTTCGTTGCCAGCCAGCCAAAGTTCCTTGTTGCCTATTCTTATTATTCTGGCCATCTGATCATCAGTATGGAGTGAGCGTAGGCGGGAGCTGTTGATGTGTGTAGTTTGTTGGAAATGCTTTTCGTGAGGCGCCAAGTCTCTCGACCATCACATAGAAGCACTGACTTGACTGACTATTGAAAATCTGGATCTTGTTCACGCTTATGCAGAGTACAGTGGAGTGCAATAGATCTCCATACTGATTATTTCAGATTAATGAAGGAAGGTCATCCTTGCTTTTTTTCCGATCCTGGCTTTGACATCTTCATGTGTGCCACCATGTGCAGTTGAGACGGTGCCTAGGTAGGTGAGAGAGACTACTTCCCATAGATTTCTCCCGTTGATGGTGATTGGTGCTTGTTGTTGTTAGTGGTTGGGTATCTTCATCACCTCTGTCTTCTATGCTTTCACATGAAGGGACTCCCCTCTTCTTTCTCTGTCTCATCTCTTCTGTCAACTTGTTGGTTTTCGCCTGTAGAGCTTCGAGTTTGTGCGACATTAGACATAAATCATCACCGGTGGCGAAATCCAAATCCTCTTCTGGGATCTCTTCATCGGTCAAACAGCCTACGCCCTCTTCATGCTCCTCACAGTTGTCGGTTGCATGATCCAGTTGAGTCGAGTCGACCACAATCAAGAAGATCATCGTTGGTAGTAAGCAGCAGCCTTGTCTTACTCTTCGCTCCACTTCAAAGGCGTCACTGAGCTAAGCTTTCCATTGTGAATCACTTGGCATGTGGTCTCATCGTCATATAGCTGTTGAATGAGATTGATAAAGGTTTGTGGCACTAAAAGCGTAGTGTTGAAGCAGCTGCCTGCCAAATTACTTCTCAATCGACTCTGTCGAAGGCCATTTCAAAGTTGATGAAGTTGAGGTAAGGTGAAGAGTTGACTGCCATCCTATACTCTTTTCTATGATGATATGTAGCGTAGCATTGCAATTTGATCCCCACATGATTTTTTCTTGCTGAAGCCAGCCAGTCAGCCTGTTCCGGTCGTAATTTTGAATACAGAACATTGTTTAGTCTCTCCAGGATGATTCTGCATAATATTTTGCTTGCTTTGGGTGAACAGGGATGGAGCGTGATTCCGCGCCACTTCTTGAAATTATTTAAATCTCCCTTCTTTGAAAATATGACAAGGTAGCCCTCCTTCCAATCAATGGGCTGGTACCTTTCCCTCCCTCCTTACAAACCTTCTGCAATAGTGGTGTGGTGTGGTGTGAGCATGTCCACTGCTGTTGTCTCTGTATATGTTATCAGTGCTTGTGGAGGAATTCCATCTGGTCCTGCTGCTTTCTCTTTTTCTGTAAAACTACCCGTTAATCCTTCCTCTTTTCAGTTATTTATAGTGTTGTGCTGTTTCCAAAGTTTTTACAGCTTACGCCAACACGGTATTATATTACTTACTATCTCCTACAGTGTTTCAGTAAGTTACTAACAAGAATATTTGGTTGTAATGCTATAAAATTTTATTCAACGAATTTTTATATTGTTTTATAGATGAATGAATATATGGTGAAGGTTTACAACTAATTTTGTTTCCTGCTTCTCATGCTTGTTTATGCATAACTGTTTTACCTGATTGTTTTTCATTCAATAGCAAAATGTACAGAACGAACACTTGATGAGTATTTAGATGCAGCTTTAGGTGTTCGAAGGAAATCAGAACAGGTTACTCGTATTCAAGTTGAAAATTCGTCTAGTGATGATGTAATTAACGAGGAGTCAGCTACGACACCTGTGGTCCGCAAATCAAATTTTATGAGTTCATCATCATCATCATCCTATGATGTTCAACAACAACAGCAAGGAGGAATCCGTCCATTTCCATTAAAAATTGCATATTTTGCGGATCCTGGGGATACATCAATATCAATGGCTTTACCACCTGATGTCATTTATGTGGGTGGTTGAAATACTCATTGTCTGTCTATTTGACATATTATCAATAATGTTATTGTACATGAATATGATATGCAATTGAATTGAGCTCTGCCTTTCAACTTAACTTATTTCAGCTCTTTATACAAAAGAAAATATTTTGATGATTTGATATGTATACTTGTTGATTATTTATTTAATTATCTAAGAGTACTTTGTTTTCTTATGATTTTCTTATTTTTTGTTTCTATTCTCATCTTACTCCTGTGTTATACTGTTATTATTATTTATTTTTTTATCTACACTTTGTGTTGAGTAACACAGAGAAAACAAATATATTGACTTTTGATTATCACATTGTCTATAAAGTCATATTTGACAATAAAGAAGATAGATAACTATACATGGATTGTTTCTGATTTTCTCTCAATGAGTTTGAATGTTTCTGTCTGTTGATTACTTCAAATGATTTATGACTGTCGTATTGGCTGTCTAGTATCTTCATTTTTCATTCACTTATATAGACAGTGATTAACACTGCACAGGTCTATATACTAAACAGCTACCCAAAATTCCAAAAGGATTAACTTAAGTTGTTATTTCAGCTATCTAGATTACAACTCAGTACACTTAACCGTTGTACTCAACTTCACAACTTGAAATGAATAAATTCCCACAAACCTTTAAACTGAATTACTTTTCGATGGTCATTAGTAACATGCTTTGAGGTGACATTTCCTAAAGTTCTAATGAGAAGTCGTGACCAATGGGGCAAATCAAGTCGAACATGAAGACAATGTAGGTTGTGCTATATAGCTAATTGACAGAAGTAGGAATATCTGGACCATTGGGTCCCGACTCAGTGGTTCGTTGGTAACCGGTTCGCAGCAAAACCTGAAGGTCCTGGGTTCGACCTTTGGTGGGATCTTATATGCACACATCTGGGCCAAAACAGCTGTTCAGTACACTGAGGTTTTCAATGGTTCTTCAACCGGTGTCAGTTCGTGATGAATGCGAACTTGAAATCATGAGTTAAAAGTTATGAAGATGAGCACTGACATATTTTATGTAAAAACATAGTTGGGACGTTTCGTCTTTACATATTATATCCGGATGTATAGTGCCCGAATGATGTAACAGCAATAGAAACAATAATTGACAATGGTAGCAACACCAGTAAGTGATGATTGGTGCTTGAAGGAGGGCCTAATTTTCAAGTCAGTAATCTTTAAATTATCTCGTTACAATTCAAATCGAGTCGCTTGTCAACCTTTTTGAGTTTTGTTTGATAGATTGTAAATTGAATGCAAGTTGGCTGGTTAAGCAGCTAGTCCATTAGAATTTAGCCGTATTATTGCATCTTTGTTACACTGTAAGTAGACTCAGCACCTGGTAATTAGAACTAAACTATATAGTGTTGTTGACAGTCTGCTTCCGTGGCTTATGTAATAAAATATCAGGTCATTACTTTAAATCCCACCACTATCTAGGTTTTCTTTCAACTTCATATATCATCTGTGTGTAATAGTTTGACGACTAAAGTTCACTTTTACTGTTCGATTGTATTCACCTTTATACGTGTTTTCGCCATCTTGCATTCTATCAGTCTGTCTAAAATGCATCCACATAGTGTTGTAGGCATTTTCGTTTTTTTTTAAAACCACTATCTTTTGAAGTGAACATTGATTAAAATCACTTTGCTTATTCACTTGTTTATAGTTTCAGTTAACAACTTATCAGATTTTGATTTTCTTCAATACCATTACGAGTTGAAAAACTTGTAACATATCTTAAAGTGATGCCTAATTTAAAAGGATCAATTGAAAATTTACGTCGTCAGTTACGTGCACTTCGATTTAATTATGAAGTCAATTTTCAAGGGTATGTATGTATTTTGTTTTTCCGCCTGTTTCAAACTCTGTTTGCTTTTTTTCGGAGAATAATTATATTTTCGCTTAACTACATTAGAGTAAATCAGTTTTTTTTCGAAAGCTCAATCAACTTCATAAAATCCGCTATTTTATTTACTCTTGTGATCGTCTAGTGATAGTTACTTTGTGTGAAACTGAAGTCGGGCAAGTAGCAGTTACTTCATAGAAGAAATTTCTGTCTTTTACTATCCTGTTACTGATGTTAGGAGACACATGAAAAACTAGCTGCTGCGTTCTGGGTCTCTGAGTAGTATCACATCCCACATAGAAATTATGATTCGACATTACCAAAGAAGTATGCAAATCACTTACCATATCTTCGTTTAACGAACTTCCTATTCAGTTATTCAGTTCATTTTATTTACATCAAAACTATACTGTCTCTTTGTTGATTACAAACTCATCTTTGTGAATCCTCGATCCACTCAACTGTTTATCACTCACTAAAATCCTGGTGTGTGCTTATTCTTTACTCGCTGAACCGTTGTTCCCAGAAAACTGCCCTTCATTACGAAATCTGATAAAACTGTTATAAATCGGCTCTCATTGTTTAAACTGATCACCTTCAATGTTCGGAACTTGATACAGATGAAACAATAGGCAGGTTTGGCTAGTACTCTTGAAAGCCTTGGTATTGATTTATGCTGTATCTCAAAAATCCACAGCCACTGTTGTGCCATTTGGCATCTTTCTTCTGCCACTCAGATCACCTTTCTTTTGGCTAGTAGTGGCACGGATGTTTTCAAGATTACCACTCTTTCTGGATGCAGCACTTGTCTGGACCCTGATCACGCTTTAGTGTTCACTTATTTCATCTTGAGACCCGATTATCATGAATATTGTTGTCCTGAATATGTCAAAGTACGTAAACTGGTTGCACCCATTATTCCATTTAGATATCAAATCGAGCTAGTCTCAAGACTGGCTGTTGAGCCTCCAGATAGATGAGCATTGGCTTGAGTTGCAAGACGCTAAGAAAATGGTGCGTAAAGCTGCTTGTGACTTTGAAGAATATCTAGCCAATAAGTACTGCATTTCTGTGAGCTCCTGTCTTGTGTTCCATGGCCGGTAGCACCGCTTCACCTAACGAAACAGAGGCCCGTAAGGAACTTTAGGTTCTAAAGCGCCATAAAGCTCCTGACACAGACAACTTAACCACCTCTCCTTTCTAGGATGGGGAGTAGTCAGGGTACTGGTAACACTGAACTTTGCGGTCACATTCCACTGGTACAATTTTTTTTAAAGTACCTCAAGAAGAAGTAACCTTTCACGTCTGTGACCAACCGGAAAGTCTTTACCGTCCTCACAATTCTGTCATCACCCAAGTTCCCTTAGATCATTATCAGGCTGACAAAATCAACACAGAACCTTGCACACAAGTTCATCGATTGAAGTTGCCACTCTTCACAGTAGTATACAAAGAACAAGTTGATAGGAAAGACTGATATCAAAATAGAGGAAGGTGTATAAGAGAGGAAACAATCTGACGATAAAGATTGATGGAAAACATCAAGCTCTAGAAGACGTCGAGGAGTGAACACATCTGTGCCACTGTGACTGATTTTCAGCCGTGTTACGAAGGGTTCTCAACTACTGATTCCTTTCGTCTCGGGGACCCCAACTAGGCAGTCTGTATATCCCCATATGACTTATCAACAGTCAAGGACTTCATCGGCTGGTCGCACGTCCTAGTCTGACCACTCTGAACCTTCTTCCATCCTAATCCAACTTCTAGCATAGCACGTTGAGGTAGGCGGTGGCTTCGCATGCGTAGCGCGTGTCTAAGGCACTTAAGTTGATGGAGGTGCTCAACCTTATGAACCCTACGCACCTTTACCTTTCAATTTTTCTTCATATCTCAGCTTTGCACCTCATGAGAGAACACCAAATGTTTTAATTTATTCCTATGTAGTATTTTCACGCTGGGTCACTGTTTGAAATCGTTTAAAAAACATAACTTTACAACGGTAAGGTCAGTGCTCTTCTATCCAACTCATTTTTAGCTTTCACAGCCAGTTTTTATTTCATTGTTGAATGATTTACTGAAAGAAATACTGTTTTGATGTCCATACTTGTAATGAGATACTGTGGTGTTAATGTTCACCATACTTTCGGGCCGAGTACAGAGTCTTAGGTTAACTCCAGGCTCCATCGAATTCTATGTGTACAGTGTGCCTTAATCGTGCAGTATAGCATAAAATCTTCATTTAATTGCAGTGATTTATTGCATCCTAACTTCTATTTGTTGTTGTTTACAGCTGAGGTGGTAGGAGCTTTCGAAACTGAAGCTTATTTTCCACTTTTGTGTATTAAATCCTATACAGCAGTGAAATAAATTAACTTTATTTAGCTTCGTAATTTCGGAGGTATGTATAAATGTCATTCATTAAATTATTGAGATCATTCTTTATGCAGATAGATTAAGTTACGCACAACCTTGCAAAATGTTGTGGGTCCTCAAGACTTCATACTTCGTGACATTACAGAAGTCAGTAAATTACTGGGGTCCTGAAATAAGCTGAGAGGATATCAGTGAAGAAAGGGAGAGCAAATGGACTGCTCGTAAGTTATTCAAAATTTGTATGATAAGGGATGAAACATATCGTTAGAGATCTGTGACTGTGGACTACAGACACTTACGAAACCTTTGCCAAGTAGTAATATATGCCTAGCTATAGCGCTTAAACCAACAGTCATTAATTACCTCCATGGATAGGTATGTGGTTAATTTATATCGTGCAACTGAGTGATTACGAGTCGTATGCGTCTATCCGTGATCATCATGCTTGTTGGTCACTGAATTTGATATTTTGTATGAATATTTTCTAGAAAAAAGGGACTGAACTTGAAGATTAACAGATTCTATTGTTTCTTGACATTCTATGTAACATAAATATGTATTTCTCTCTTACTTCAGAATGGTTCTAGGACAACCATCTGCATTCGTAGAATTTTATCGTCATTTACTCTGTGATTACAATGCAAAGCTCACTAGTCATTTGGTTGAACGTGGATTTGGAATGCTTGGTATGATATAAGCTTTTTTATCAGTTATTATATTATTAGTATTCTATGCCAACATCCTGTTTATGCTTTTCCTGCTTCCACTGTATATAGTGTTACCGCTTTAACAACATCTTGACATTTTGTTCATTTTAATGACAACAGTGTTTTTAGAATGAAATAAATCGTCCTATTCCATTGATATATCGTCAGCCACATACAACGTAAATCAATAAATAAATAAGTTAACAATGCTAAAGAAATTAGCGTACTTTAAGTGTAGGCTGTTCAAATGAAATACCATGATAATGAAAGATGTTGATGTATTATTATTATTATCGTCTTTGCCCAAGTCAAGAGATGATGGTACCCTAATAAGTCAAATATGACCAGATATAACCCAGCCAAGGTAGTTATATACTCGTGTAAAGTAAGTGTGGATGGGAATATTACAAATAAACGACTTCATCACATAAAATTAAGTTTTGTTGGGTACATTTTCCCCAGATAATGCTACCGAAGATAGTTATTGGGTTGATGTCAATGGACAACTAGATTTGTTAAGTAGCATTGGTTTCTGATGTTTGGAAATCGACCTGTATTCGTAAAGGAGAACACTCGGCAAACTTGGATCCAAATGTTGGTAGCTTAGTTTCAGCCTTGAAGTGGAGCGGTGAAACATGTTGACCATTTTACTTGCTTGAGAAAGTACATCAACCCGTATAGGTTGGTTGTTGAGTAAACCTCAGCTGGAACAAAGAAAGTTCGTTCAGTGTTTGCCAACCTACATCACTTATGGCACCAGCGAAACATTCGACTACTGCATTCTACCCTGTTCTCTTATGCAGCTGTGAGATACGACCGTTGAAAGTAGAAGATAAGAAGCAATTACAGATGTCTTTACAGCATTGTTGGTCTGTGGCAGGATCACTTTGCTAGTAGTGTTGAGAGTACTAGACAAGAAAGGCAAGTCAGTTGATAAAGTTTTGAATCTTCATCGAAGTACGTGGATAACTTGGTACGTGTTGTACATCCCGAGGCATCGTCTATCTCAAAATGCATTGCTAACTGAAGTAGCATTGGGTAGGAAAAAGGTTCGGCGTGATCAGACAAGGATGTGGCACCAGTTCATGAATTCTTCTACGGTTGGTCTATGCCGTTTATGTAGGTATAGACTGGTTGGAGTCCTCCTGTTTTTAGGAATCAGTGGTTGGTGATGTGTCTGGAAATCGGTCATAGTGGCGCAGATGTATTCATCTTCAAAAATCTAAGTATTTTCACTAACCTTAATCGTTCAAAGTTTCGCCTCCTGTACACTTTTGTCTACTTTGGTATCAGTCCTTTTCTATCCATTTGTTCTTTGTGTCCTCCTGTGAATTATGGCAACTTAAACTGATGTACTTCCATTCTATGCTGTTCGTTTATTTGTCTCTCTATCAACTGTTATTTGGAAACAATCACCATTTTCTGCGTATGATGACTGTTACATTATTGCAACACCACTTAATTAATTCTGAACTGCAACGGAGAACGCTAAGAGAAAATTAAACTTATTTTACAATACCTATAATGATGGCTTGGATACCTTTTATGTACTCTATTTTTGGTTTGTTTGTTAGATGTATCAGACATAATTAGATAGGGTTTCGGACGCAATTTGTTACCCATAATAATGGCAAGGTAACTCCATAACTTCGGGGTATGGTTTATGTAGTTCTAATTCCCCTTACTTTTGTGCTGTTATCTGATTGTGATGAAATTAGAAACCTTTCATAATCTTAACCTACAATTTTCTACTACTTAATGTATAGGCTAGATGATATACATCAAGATTACTTTTGGTACGACCAACCTTGACACCAATATAGCGATCAATATAGCTCTGGATGGAAACTGAATTATGCTCTGCTAATTGTGGTTTTTATCAAATATTTTTGCGGTATCAGGCGTTATATACCTATCATTTTTAAAGTTTTTATTTTTAACTTGTTCATTTTTCTAGGTACAACTGACAACAGATTTATGGAAGTTTTTTATCGTATCCTCCGAGATGTTATTTCCTTTCGCCCTCCTGTTAATTTAACTCAATTCTTTATGACTGGATTCGCCGAACGTAAAATTGAAATGGCAACTACTGTTGCTCTTCGTATAGGATCTTTAATTCAGCGATCGCTTGTTAGTCGAGAAAAAACTGGCATACAAAATGGTCAACACCATCATCGAAATCAACTTCTTAATCATCCTAAACCTAATTCAACTAGTGTATTTCATTCTGAGCTACCTTTAGTACTTCCTGGAGTGTCATATCATCGATCAGTTGAACGAAGTACTGACGAACCAAATGTTATGTCTGACAACAATAAGTTATACGATGGTGTTATGCATTCTAATGACGAAATTCTATGACATGTGGTGATTTACCAAATAGAAATGGTTTTACTCATGTTAAAGGTGTTCGGAGTACAGAAAATTTATCAATCTGTCAGTGTCCACAAGAATCTTATAATCGTTGTTCCAATCAGTCAAGTGTAAAAGTGACGAAACTAAGCAAGATAGAACCTTTGGTAAGTTTTTATCAGGACTTTTTCCTTACTACCTTTTAATTAATTCTGAGTTCAACGGTTTAACGACACTTTATCGAACGATACTGTTGATATTTGAAAGTAATTGCACTTTTTAGGGACTAATTGTATACTTTGTGACGCAAGGGACATGCATACGTGTTCATGCTTCATCGTAATCTTGAAAAGTTTATTGAATATCAATCCATTTTCTCATTTCTTCTCCTGCTTCTGCAGTTTTTCTTACTATCTCGGATAATCTTATCTCCATTCTAGACGTTTTCCATTATTAACCTCTCTATGTGTTGATGATAAGCAAGACAGCGTAGACCGATAAGCGGTATACTGGGTTCTGTATCGCCTGTGTATTTCTTTTTATCTGGCAAGGTTGGACATGTCAGCTAATGTTACCATTCGGAATGCTTTGCTTTACATTATCTGGCTGAAAATATCTCATGTCATCAACAGTTGAACAACTAATTAGATATACCAACTGGCAAAAGCTCATTGCCCACTTCTGCCAGTTTTGTAAAAGTACTTTGCACTTCGACGTTACAATGCTTCCACCATATTTACAGGAACTGATGGCTAGTTCATGAAGTTTAATTTAAGTAGCCTTGACGCTATCTTCAGTCAGCATCAACGTAAGACCTGGTATTACTGCCTAACAACCCAGATTGCTATAGCTCATAACAGCTTATCATGATCGGAAGCACCAAATTGAAAGCTGAAGAAATCGAAAAGAAGGTAGTTAAGAGTGATCGGAATATGTGAACCAGGAACAAGGAGGAATAAAACAATGATAAAATTTGGCATGACGATTCAGATAAAAACAATGTGTAAATACATCCGTACTACTGATATCGATTCTGATTCACATTACCTAGAGTCTCCAAACACCGATTTAGGTTATCACTCGGACCCCAACCAGGGACTGTACGTTTCCCTGCACGCCATGGATCAACAGCCAAAGATGCTGTCGTAAAGTAAGATGGTGTTATCAAGACATCATATCTACACCGTCTTGCACACTATTAAATCTAATAGTTTTATTATGCTGCGCATGATGTCTCAAATGCTTTCTGAGTGCTTAAGTCATCTAAAGTGGAGGACCGCTTCTCAACCTTCTGACTTAGTTTTATCTATAAGGCGATGGAGCGACGTCAACGTTGCATTCTCATTTTTATGTATGATCACCGTTGCTTTGTATGCTGACTGATATTTTTGAATCCCTGAGCCTATGCATGACACTTTTTTTAATCACGATTTTCTTATTCTTCTAGATTTGCAATAAGCTCCCCTTTAACTTCTGCCCTTCCATTTTGTGGGAACACTTCCGTCATGTGAATATGGCAGTGGGCGGTTCCTTTCACAGACATGAATGCATGCTAGTATAAGCGTACTTTGAAAGAAAGACGAAGTTCTATTTCTTCTCAGTGATACTACTGTATTTATGGGGGTGAGTGGGGAATATCGTATCATTATGAGGCGGAAGAAAATCGAATGTGGTCACTAGTATCGTATGTTATCATTCAGATTCATTTATCTTATCTACTATTTGTACACTTTTAATAAAGATAGACTAGCTGGCTCACTGACTTCATCAGAACGCGATAGCATCGAATCGGTTGGCTTCAGTTGGGAAGTGACATTGTAAGAAACGAGAAAACTGAGATGCAGGAAAGAATGCTTGTTACTGACATCGTGTACAGTAGTCATCAAATATTGCACACTTTCCACTAAGTCATTTACACAATGTGCTTCATTTCCTCTTCTGCTTCTATCTTGATTTGCTCATACTACGCCTACATTGTCTCTTGCGTTTCTCTGGGCAGAATCTTTAGCCATTGCTGGTAATTCCTTATGATTTCTGCCACCCTCTCAATATATACTACTTATTTCCATCATAATCAGCAGCGCCCACTACAACGTGACAAAGCGTTACCGTTAAATCATCTTGCTTGAAGAATCTAGTGCTACCAAAGGGAGGATAATTTATATGAGGCAACCAGATGCTCAGTTACTTGTAGCTATATTTTGTTGTGAGACTAATATTATCATCAATAACCTTTTTTGAGCATTTGAACTGAATAAGTTAACAGGTAATTTTATCCCTTTTTCTAACCCGTTTTGTGTTCAGTGCAGTGGTAATTATTTACGCGATGAATATGATAGAATGCCTAATTATGCATTGAGAAGTAACTATGATCAGTATAAACGTGCATACCACCCATTGAACAGTAATCCACGTGTTTGCGTCTACAGTACTCTACATAATAATTGCATAAGATTACCTGATGGCAAATATACTACACCGACTAGTAAGATAAATACACTGTCAACAATGCCTCCTACAAAGCAATCCAATAGTGTAAACAATACAAAACAATTTTCAAAAGATAATTACTCTGCATTGTTAACATCATCATCATCTCAAAAATATTGGAATCCAAATGACCATTTATTATCAAATGATGGTAATGTTCGAGCAACAAATCACAATGAGTCCTCTTTTATACATTATGAAAGCATTCGTAATATTATGAATTCATTAGTTCAGTTAACTGGTAAAGTTGATTGTATGCTTGATCGAATGAATAAAATGGAGTATAAATTAACAAATGTTGAAACAGGATACATGTTTAATCGATCAAGAACTTATGGTGGAGTAAGTTCTACTGCCATTTTATATTTACTAATTAATATTATTGCAATTATGATGAACGGTAACTGTAAAACTTTATTGTGTAGAAAATTTATTTATACTATGCGCGTTTACTTGTAATTGTGGATAAAATTAGGACTAAGTTGTTAAAGTATAACTGATCGGTACTAAAGGCATTCAGTGTAGAAAAATCATGTTTTGATTTCCTAAACATACTAGGATTATATTGAAACTTACTAATTGGTTTACGCAGTCGATTTTCAGTCGGTAAATCACGGGTTCTCTGCTCACCCATATTACTCAGGTAGTATCGTTTACTGTTATACAATAGATGTGATTTTATTACTTAGTGCACCAACCTACACTTTGTTATTGAGTTATATACAGACTTGGGGTGTTGGGTATGGTTCAACTAGTCCGGCAAATCTACGTCAGAGTTATTCGTTTCTGTCTGTCCAACGATTTAAATAATAGGACAAACTAACTGTTTGTTGTTTTTGTTTACCAATAACAAGAGTTTTGAAGTTTATTTACTGGGAAGCACAAGTTATTATAACTCAGAATCATTAGGAGTGATACATTCGAACTTCAGAGATCTGGTATAATGTTATTGAGGCTTATTCTATGAGTGGTACTATAAATGTAGACATGACCTAAATATGAAGAAAACAATTTTCAACTGTGACAACTTTGAATAGATGTTTCATTGGATTAACTGTAACAATCATAAGTTGAAGACCAGGAGTTCGTTAACTGCCAAAATAACTGAAGAAATGTAACCAAAATAAGTACTTCTCAGGCTAACAATCGAATCGTCCAGATGAAGAACATATGGCGCTACGTAAAAGTCGCTTTTAAATAATGGAAAACAAGTAGACATAAAATAGGTTATTTGTACAATAACTAGGGCTAAAGTTTAAAACCTATTAAAGCGAAAAAAGAATTTCAATCTACTGAAATTGCATAATCGAGTCACACTTTTCTTGTGTAGTCAGTGATGTAAATTGTATATTATAAACTTCAGGATCAAAATTTGACCTGATAGAGTTGAGTAAATTGAACATTGAGAAAATGGACTATGAAATCAAATACATTTTGTAAAATCTCAATGAAGTAGAAAAATAATTTTCTGACGTTTCGTGACTTCGTGGAAATCGTTTCTTTTGAGAATAAAGCCTGTACAAGTTATCAACTGTTTAAATAGTAAACGGTGACATATCAGATCACGTTGTCTATACACGATAATAAAATGGGCATATCTTTGTCATGTTGATCAGGATGCATTCAAACTTGCCTTTGTTATCCGTTTAAACGGAACTTGGCCAACATAACAAAGATATATGCCTATATTATTATCATGTATAGACAACGTGATCTGATATGTCACCGTTTACTATTTAAACAGTTGATAACTTGTACAGGCTTTATTCTCAAAAGAAACGATTTCCACGAAGTCAAGAAACGCCAGAAAATTATTTTTCTACTTCATTAGGATTTTACAAATATATTTCATGTGTAAACTAGATATGTCAAGTTTTTTTAATCATTCTTAAGATGTTTTGTTATGCTGCCATTATCAGCCTAGTGGTCAGTATTGTCTATCTCTTATCAGTATGTGATGTGTACGCTTATTTAGTGACTCATCCAGTCAATAACATACTGGAGTTTAGGTGAAGTGTTTAGTGAGTTTAGGTTTCATTCGAAATATCAACATACTTATATGTATGATTCAATTTGTATGATAAATTCTAAGTAAGAAGAAATGTTTATTATGGTTTCAATTGCTGTCTATTACTTCATCATCAAATTAACACAACCTTGATGACAGATTCACTATTAAGCCTACTTTCTTGCTTGTTTCTATTGACTACAGTCTTCTTCTCCATGTGATTTTCTATAATTATTTAAATGTTTAGCCTACTGTTGATTCCAACCGACGTAATATGGATTTGGGTGATTTTTGTGGTACCGATAGTGTTGTTGAACGTAAAATACTTCCAAATGTAACAGGTGAACAGAATCTTTTATCTATGAAGACGGCTGATTCCTTCTCAGTAACTCCTGTTAGTTCTACATTGAATACATTCAGTGGAACACAGTTTACAAGTACAACTGGGACAACAACTTCAGCCTCATTTCTTACAACAAAAACATTAAACTCTTGTAGTGTTACATGTGCAGAACGTCATGTTTTCGGCGATGCGAATCATGGAACATCTGAATCTTTCTACTCGAAACCTAAATACTTTACTTCAACAAAACTGAATATACAAGAGAACAATCCAACTTCTTGTAAAAACGCAGCAGAAAAGATTCAAAGTTATACTGCGAAAACTGCTGCACAAGATTCTCTCGATGATCAACCTATCAAAATTGCTCCGATTATAGTCAGCCCACTTCCTGATTCACATAATTTCAATGAAAATTGTCGTGATATATCAAGTCGGGTTAGTGTATTCATTTGAGATTGACAATTTCCTCTTCTGTAGTGCTTATCTTAATAAGGGTGCTAATGCACAAAATATTGTGTTATGTATGTCAGGTTCTGAGAATGAAAAGTAAGTTGTATCGGATTAGAGTCACAACTTTTTACTTCCGTAGTGTAAAATGGCGTTGAATTAGCTTATTTCAGCATAGTCAGATTACATCAACCACAAACGTTGTTGTTTGGAATATTAGCATAGTATAAATTGTGGTTGAATATGGATAGGCAGACAGGCAGCTACTGTTTTGTCTCCGATCGATAGCTGCTACCTTGATGTGGTGGTCGGGCTTGCATATCACAATGACCCGATGAGCTGTACTGGTGGAACCCTTGTTCCCTGGAGGCCCTACCATGCCAGAAAGGTCTATTGGATAATGGTTAGACGAAAAGCAGTTACCGTTGTGGCGTAAATTACTACACTATGATGGGGGTCCGAGAGCGAAGTCGTACTGCCGCTAGCTGGATGGTGTGTGACAGCAGTAAGGTGTTTCCCTTGGATGACCACCAGTGCCATGCTGATGCTGTTTTCTCTGTGGAAGGGGGGGTTTCGAAAAGGTTGGCCTCTAAAATAACACTCCACCCTGCCCCATGGTCTTCCGGTGGTATGAGCTCTCTCTTTCCGGTGTTAGAACAACCAAACCTCAAAAATACATCCCTCAAAAGGCCACGTGTGACTGGCTTCAAGCAGATGTTTCATGGGCTCTGGCATCACATACATCTTTTCCCTTTTCAGGTAAGTTAGTAAGAAATAGCTTTCCATGATTTGAGCAACCGGGAAGTGTCAACCACCCGCACGCTTCCAGTAGTACACAAGACCCAATCAAACATAACCTATTCCCTCAATTTAGTCTCCTCTTTTACCTTCATTTCTTGATACCAATATTAGCCCACTTATCTTTTACCCAACCTTTCACTCTATAACCATTGTCAACGATCAAACTAATCGAAATCTCATTCGTAGTCTCTTAAGACCCTACTAACGATTTCATATTATATCTTTCAACGACCGAACTCCATGCCAAGCTGGACAGCAAGGATCGCTCGCCAGAACTGTGGAATCTCGAGCCATGGATGTATGTTGTGTCCCTGAGATACGTATATGGGATCGGAGTATGGCTAATGAACTGACCAAACCCAGTGACTAGCTCTTGTGGACTCCTTGGTGTTGGCATGGCATTGACTTGTAGAGCAGAAAGTGCACATCTCGACTGGATACCAGTCAACAGCTATCTATGGGCTCTTCAACTGAATGGAGTTTTAAGAACTAGGAAGGACCGTGAAACTAACCCATACTTATTCGTAATCTCCGCTTACCCAGCCACCAACTGTAGTTCCGAGGATGCAAAGAACGACTTCTATCAGAAGCTGTCAATTCTGCTACAGAAAGCAAAACATTCAGACTTGGTCATAGTAGCAGGCGAATTCAACGCTCAAGTGGGAAAACCGAGCCGATTGGAATGACATTTTGGAGGTATCTAAAGAATCCCATGCCAACGAACGGACAACAATGATCGTTTGTTGCAGTGGAGCTCGGGAACAGCAAGCCCGAGAAAACCAGGCAGGCTTTAGACCTGGCCGTGGATGTATCGACCAAATATTCACACTGCGCCAGGTCCTGGAACATAGGCATGCTTACAGACGCCCGACAATAGCTGTATTTCTCGACCTGAAGGCGGCATTTGACTCCGTTGATCGAGAAGTCTTATGGCAGTGTCTGTCACTGAAAGGCGTGCCTAGTAAGTACATCACCTTATTGAAAGCTCTCTACTCGAACACTTGTGGGCATGTTAGAGCCTATGGTGAGTTGTCCAGGGAGCTATACTCATCAAGTGGTGTCCGTCAAGGATGCCCACTATCCCCATTCTTATTTAATTTTATCATAGATATTCTTATGGAGGTTTCCCTCTCGTCACCTAATTACAAAGACGTTGACCGGACCACAGGTGAATTTTCCTTAGATCTAGAATATGCAGATGACATAGTCCTGTTAGGTGAAGACGCTGACAAGATGCAGAGTCTTCTGAACACTTTGAGTGGGAATTTGAGAATGTTTGGGATGCGATTTTCACCACCCAAATGCAAATTTTTGCTCCAGGACTGGTCTTCAGCGGTACCGCGGTTAACAATAGAGAGTGAAGTGGTTGAGTGTGTTGACCACTTCACTTACCTGGGAAGTAGGATCAACTCCGGTGGGTTAGTTGCCGATGAGATTTCTGCACGGATACAAAAGGCTCGATTGGCTTTTGCCAATTTGCGCCACCTATGGCGCCGCCGTGATATTCGTTTGTCTATTAAGGGTCGCGTGTACTGCACAGCAGTCCGCTCTGTTCTACTGTATGGCTGTGAAACATGGCCATTGAAAGTGGAAGACATGAGAAGGTTACAGGTATTTGACCACCGTTGCCTTCGTAGTATAGGACGTATTCCGTGGTGTCACCATGTGAGTAATGCAGAAGTTAGGTGTAGAGTTTTAGGGAGAAGAGGTAAGTCAGTGACGAGGTTGTGAACCTTCATCGACTGAGATGGTTGGGACACGTACTACGTATGCTAGTCACCGATTGCCTCGTCACACAATGTTGGCTGAGGTGGGTTCAGGCTGGAAAAAGGCCCGAGGTGGCCAGACTAAAACATGGCACCAATGTATGAAGTCTCTGACTGTTGGTTTAAGCCATGTAGGACGATGCAGACTAGGTGGTTGGGGTCCACGGGACAAGAGGAACCAGTGGTTGGAGACCCTAGGTGATATGGCTCAGAACCGAAGTCAGTGGCGCAGATGTATACACACATTATCCTCATCTTAACAACGCTATACCGAATCTCACTATTTTGTCACTCCTCTTTCCTTTCTTCTCATACTTTATATTTCTTTTGACTGCATTCACTTATCTTCATCCTTCACCTCACTACCTTTTTACTTGATGTGCTGATATGAGGTGTGGCAACTCGGACCGTTACGCAGTAATGCCTGGTCCTATGTTGATAATGATGATGATGATGATGTTTGTTGCAGTTTCTTGACGACCACTAGATGTTGGCGAGCACTGACTTTAATGTTAACGAGAGTCACTGTTTCATATGGCGTTCGTCAACACCAAACCAACGGTGGAAACAGACAAATCATATTGCCATAAGCCACCGTTGGATTGGATATGTGGAGGATGACCATTCCTTCTAGAGTAACAGTTTGGACTCCGATCACACGCTTGTGAGAGCTCGTGTATGTCTGAGCCTTACTGGTTGCCAGAAACAGGCAGGAGTAAAGCCTGTGCACGCTTGATTGGAAGATGAGAACATGAATCACGCATTCAGAGAGGAGATAGGTAATCACTTATCTGAATGTGACAGCAATTCTCATGCTGAAGAAACCAGGCATGATACTAAGTGTGCTGTTGAAACTGAGGTAAAGGTATTTGTAGACCCACGCCCGAATGTTAGCAAACGCTGTTGGGTTTCCGTAACGTCATCCGAACTTATTGATATGAGACCACTGATCCCGACCGTCTATGATCACGATGACTAGAGAAAGGAACTTGAACATGAATTGACAAAGAGTCTTCGCAATGATCGCAAGCAGTGGTGGGTGGTGAGAGAGAGGTGAAGAAGGCATTGGTGTTAGGTTACACCCAGCAACAATGTATCTCTCTACTCGAACTCATGCAGTCGTGTAAGGGCTTACGGAGAGTTGTCATGTGAATCGACGATAACAAGTGTCTGTCAGAGATGCCTACTGTCACTTTTCCTATTGAACTTCATTTTAGACGTACTAATGGACATGAAATGAAGCTGTGGTTCAGTGGTTTAGGGAGTTTACTATTAACCATTGGTTCGCGGGTTCGAGTCTTGCTCCATGTAATGAAACTTAGGCAGCCAGGTCGTATCACTAGCCCCATACAATAGGTCTGGCTCTTTGTCTACTAAAGAGATGTGCACAAAGTGGCTGAATGCGTTCGAGTTCGTTTTCAATTTCACTGAAAAATCCTAGCACTATACATTGATTTTGTTTTCTTTAACAGCCATATATTAGAGATTCCTGATGATGAGGGTTTCAGAGGGTTTTGTTCTCTTTTGAAGTGATTTCCTCTCCATTTTGCTAAACATTTAGAACGGTAATTTTAAAAAAAAATTAGGATATTGTGCATATACCACTGAAGTAGGTTAAGGTTCAACGTTTTACAAGCTATAAAATAGAAGTTATCTTTCTACCAAAATTCATTTCATTAAAAGTGTTATACAGTTCATTAAAAATCCTGCATAACGAGTAAGATAGCACACATATGTACAGGATTTATCCTAAAAGTTATTTTTTTTAGATGATTTATAACTGATTTTCCATTTTAAATTAATTTAGCGCGAAACTTCTGATTTAGTTCAATTGAAATACGTTGATCCTTTGAAGACTAAAAATCAATTTTGCGATTCACGTGTTACAAGTACTTCATTGGTTGACTTAGATTTAAAATCTGAGATCAAATCTCCTTCGGTTGTCCGCAGTAATAATTCAGCGCTTGCTTATTACCCATGTCCTAATTCTATTGATTATTCTGTCAGCAATGAATCATCGGATCCAGTTGATTATAAAGTTACACCATCATCATCATCATCCTTCAGTCTATCACGTAAACCTGATAAAACAAAATCATCAGCTACTGAAAAAGCACAGAACTCCTATCGAGCTCAAGTAGAACGTATTACTAATATGTATGTGATTTAATATTACTTTATTCTTTGTCTAGTTACTTTTACTGATTTGGTTTATGCTATCAGTTTTTCGTAGTTAATCTTTGTTTTCATGTTATATACAATAGTGAACACTAAAATGTTCATCTTATGTGATTATTATAGTTCTTCTCTGCATACTTCATAAAATCATAGTAAAGAAAAGCTAAAAGTGTCGAGATATTAAGACGAATCGAATAAGTAGATGAAATGTTGTGCTCAAGGTTTAGCGTAAAGTATGTGAAAACAACTGCACGGTTATGACTGTTTTTGAGTCATATCGCCTAATGTATCTAATCGTTGATTGAAATCAGGTAGTTTACGCTTTTCTTCATAGCTTGGACTAGGTTGGTATTCATTATAAATTGACATCAGTTATAGAAGCATTGAAAATATGAGAGCACTTGACAGTTGTTTCGTACTACTATGGGACTACTCTGTTGCTCATTAGTGACTTGAGGTCGCGCTATGTCATGAACTGACAAGTAAAAAATATGAGCCATCGGATTCCGATCCAGCGGCTCAATAGTAACGTATTGGCTGCAGAACCTGTATGTCCTCGGTTCGATCGTTGATAGGGTCGTGGGTGCGTACTACTGGGGATTCTCATACTAGGACAAAACAGTTGTCCAGTACTCCGAGGTTTCTCCAGTTGATGTCAGTCTGTGATGAATACAAACCTGAAATCAACAAACAAATCCCCACAAACTTCTAAATTTTATCTAGTTATCTAGTTAGTCTACTCGAACGTTTAGACCTGTATTCAGGTAAGATGCGAAATATAATAATATCAGCACGTTTAAGCGAACCAGTAAATGAATTATGCCATTTACAATTATTGTCGAGTAAAAGCGGTCTAACAGCTTCGATAATCACTCATAAGATTAATTTCACAGTTTAGTTCTTATTTGTTTTGAAACTCTTCAAACCAAATAGTGGTCGTGATTTTCACTGCATGTTTAAAACAGGTTGCAGCTGCATTATTTTTAATAAATATTTGCTGCACTTATATATTCAGTTTGTCTGAACGCAAGCAGTCAAGGTTGTCTCAAGTTCTCATTTTTTGTAGTAATCAGAAATGTGGAAAAAACATCATTGGTTTATGAGTAACAGATAGCCTTCAATAAATATTATGCTTGATTGTATTTGATTAGTTAGTCTATGTATCGTGCACTCGACAAATTCATGTAAAGTATGATAGATTTGGATGCTGACACGGATGTTTGGCTGGTCGATACTTTACGGTTCCCCATATTGTGCAAAACTGCTTTTCGAGGCACCTAAAAAAGAAAATGAATTAGTAAAAGTGGCACATGACGACAGAGCTCTTGGGATATCTGGTTCAGACCTTATCATGCATGGTCTTTTGGAGACTTATAAATTTTGGTTGCATCTGCTCTGTAAAAAGCCATATCACCGACAAGGAAAGATTGCATGGAGGGGGTGGAGTATGCTATTTTTATGACCAGCCTTTTCTAATCCAATAAGGGAGTACAGTGTCAGTATAGAAGGTTGGTCATCTATGGGAAACAGCTTATTTCTGACTCACCCCGCTCAAACTAGTTTGATGACTTTGCTGTCAGACCCTTCGATATTTGCGCCATGATGGTAACAGTCTTACGCCCTGCCACTATTTGACGAACGTTTAAAGCATCATAGAACCTCGAAGGAAAACTATGTCAACCAGCATAGCTCATTGGGATATGCAAACCCGACAGCAGAAACGAAACGCACTCAGCTATCTTGTCCACATCCGTGCAGTAGGCAATGAAAGGGCTTCTAGTGACACTTCCTGGTTGCCCAAACCTTGTTAGGTGGACGGGGCTCAAACCCATGACCCAGTGGTTGATAGCCAGCTCCCTAAACCACGGAGCAACAGCTCCACAATCCAACAGCCACATCAAGACATCAGCTATCAGTTGGGAACGCGAAGCCGAGGTGGCTCTGATTAAGTCTGAAGTCCGGCCAATCTAGTATTGAGCCTTAATCAGTATAAACGATATTCTAGAGCGATCAACCAGTCAGTCAAAGAAAAAACCGAATAACTGACTGATTACAAACTAGGCACTTTCAGAATGCTAAGAATATTCATGTGAAAATCAGTTTTTCCCATATATGAAATTAACTCAGTAAAGAGAAACGTATGTTGTCAAAGTATGTTAGCCTTAGATATAAATAATCTTAACTCGGTAACCTTCTGTGTAATATTTTTATTCTTCGATTTAGGCTTGCTGAAACTCAAAATCTCCTCCAAGAACGTTCGTCTAGTAAACTGAATGAATTAGCTATAGAAAACAGTGATAATATTATTGATTATAATAACGGCAACAACAGTAATGCAGTTGCTCTTAAAGCTTAAATCCAACGATATTTGTCCGTTTGTGCTGCTAGATTGAATATCTTTCCCCTGCCTTTATCTATCAATCAAACAATGATAATTAATAAAGATTATATTGTTTTTCATTTACATGAAATATGACGTACACAATTACCTCTTATCATCAACTGAAAGATGACGTTTGTACTACTTTCATTTTACAACGATTGTAGTGTTGTTTTCTTTTTTGTTTTTCACTAGCTAAATATTTTCTTTGTGCTTCCAAATCACTAACCCAACCAACTGATAAAATAGGTCATTAAAAATCTTTTGTGTCTGTTCAGTTTTCCTTTTTATTGATATTCACTTGATATGGTGATGTATGTATCCCGGTTTCAATATTGATTTATTCACAATTTTGTTTTCTTTTGTTAATTTTATAATCATCGGTCTAAGTATTATTATTATTTTGGTGGTGATAACGGTGGCGGTGAATCGATAGTGTACGCCAATATCCGCATATACGTTAGTTTTCCTGGGAAAAACGTTAGGTGGATCGGTAATGGAAACTCTTATCTTTCGGATAAGGTTTGGTTTTCTTTTCATAATAATAGTAATAATTAGTAAAAATAATCGATTTTCGTAAGAAATTTGTAGTACCATGTAGTTTTGTGTATTAGTGAATACAAATTTCCCGAGGTTTTTCACTCCAGCTTTTGGCAATATTTCTTGATAGTTTGTGCTGTTAAAATTGTACTAGCAGTTATTACTACCTGAGTATAGCAATTTTTATGAGGTACGTTTAGCGAAATTTATACTAAGAAGAAATCACAGATAAACTGGCAATAATTTATATCACAGTAAGGAGTGATACGGAAGAAAGACGCAAGAAAAGGGAGAAGATAAAAGCAACAGAAAGTTTACCATATGTCTTCTACCGAAGAAAATTGAAGTCTCCTCAACAACCACGTGCACTTCTGTGCAATAGACAACGACCCGCATGTATTGTGTGAGGTCCGATGATGCTACTTCAGCACGCAAACATTGGTAGATGGAGAGAAATTCGAACCCCTCCCCCTATGTTTAAAAGTCAAGTTCTTAGACCAAAGAGCCATAGCTCACAGAAAGTGAATGTATCTGGGTTGTTAACTTCAATAGTTAGGCCTTTCACTTAATAACATTAAGGAGCTGTCATTCCCTTTCTGACAACTTCAGAGATTATGAATATTTATTGTAGTGGTTAGCTGAAAGCTTTCATCAACTTACTTAAGTCGATATTTTGAAGTGAGATACATGGTTAGTAGGTATGTACAATAACATGCTTTCATAAGTATAGATTAAACAAATAGCCTAGTGACGTCATAATTGCACTGAAACGAAAAGGTAACGAAATTTCATACAAAAGTTGATTTCGTAAAATGAAGAATATTTCAAATGGAATTTAGCATACTTTATGCTTTTATATATAGCTCTCAGATATTTTAGGATAAATCCAATCATTTTTCTTTTGATTTTCAAATTCAATGGAAATTACATTTTTAAAATACAGTAGAAGTTGATAAGTCTAGAAAAGGACGATTTGAAAACTAATTTTATCAATCATATTAGTACTTGACCAGTCTTGCTGTCGGTGGCGCAGATGAGCTGAAGTACCTCCCAACTACTGCCAGATTCATTCACTTGTTTCCATCTTACTTGCACGTTTTGGTCGTCAAGCCTTATGGTCCCTACTCTAATGTCGCTTGATCTGTCATGTAGACTACTTACGCATACGTTTGTACTTGCAGTCTATCGGAATTCATCGACGAGTATCAAGAAATCGCAAGGAGTTCACAGAAACTCACTTTCTATTGGCTAGACATTCTGCAAAGTCACAAACAGCTTCACGCGCCATTGTCATAGCGTCTTGTAACCTGAGCCAGTGCTCATCTATACTTTCTGGAGGTTCGACAGGTAGTCTTGAAACTAGCTCAGTTTGATATCTAGATGCAATAACAGGTGCAACTGGTTTGAGTACGTTGACCCATTCAGGACGACGATATTGATGATAATCGGAACTGAAAATGAAATTAGTGAACACTAAAGCGTGATCAGAGTTCAGACAGGTGCTGCATCCAGAAAGAGTGATAATCTTGAAAACAGCCGCGCCATTACTAGCTAGTATAAATGTGATCTGAATGGCAGACGAAAGATGCCAAATGGCACAAAACAGTGGCTGTACCAGAAGTTTATGCTGGCTGGATACAGGTTGTGATCTGCAAAAGGCTGCATAAGAGGATTTCCTCTACCTGACTTCCAGTCGACTTATCCGCATTGGTCAGTTAGCACTACAATATCTAAGTGTACCTTATGGTAAAGGAGGTCACTTAATTGATGATAGAACTTATGCTTCCCTTTTCTGAGCTGTAGTCATTGGGTATTAGGCAGAGATTACAAAGAGGCAACAAAAAGTCTCACCATTGCTTTTAGTCCTCACTGGACCGTTCAGTCGAGCAGTTAATCCTGGATTTCAAACCTCCATTTATTTCTACATATGTAAAGTATGTTATGCTATCACTACCATTAATATTTCCTTTTAATTGTAGGCTGTTTGCAGCTGATGAAAGACCATGAACTAAAACGAGCTCATTTTCTGTAAATGTCTTTTTTCTTGCATTGTTGAAGTTCACTTTCTGCCTTAGGACTTGATGCTACACCAGCTAGACTGCGAGAACTAGCCGTGAAATCTCCAGAAACGTGACGGGGAAACTTCAAAGATTCACCATATTGACGCGGTAAGGTTAAGTAAGTACCTGCACTAGGGCTGTCGTCCGTGGCACCAGATACCAGAGTTTTGGCTAGTGAAATTTATTATCTAATTCGAAGGACAATGTGGAAATTGAAAGTGTCAATACTTAGTTTAAACTGCGGTTTCAGAGTTACAGAGCCAAGTCTGGAAATAAGCATAGATGATGGCGACACATCGTCTACCTTGTCAGCTGCTTCTCACTCAATTAGAACCTTAACAGTACACAGACGATTTTTAATGGGGATCCAGTCAATTAGTACAGCTTTGGCTCCGACACTTATTGCAACACCAGCATGTTTGATTGCCTGTATCACACGGCGCATTTTGGACACATTTTTCGTGCTTAGAGATGGAAAATTTATATCAATCACTAAAGTTGTTTTTACGAGCCTCTAGGATGCAGTATTGAAGCCTTCCTCAGCAAACCTGTTTGTTTTACTATCGACATAGACGAGTTTATGTGTTCCATGACAGTCATTTCTTTAGGGTTGCTAGTACTCAGTGGAAATGCTTTTGAGTGATTCTGATGTGAGGCAGCACCTTTAGGTGATATTAATTTCCTCACATATTGAATGAAGTCATCTTGAAACACTGGCTTCGGAGGCTTGAAGATATGTTACTAAAGTGACTCTGGAGCTTCTGTATTGTTCAGTTGCTTTGAAACTGGTTAAAATAAGCAGAGAGGTGGTCATCGTAGGATGAAGATGTTCTATTGGGTTGGCGTCAGTAGGTGCTTTGGTAACTCCATGAATAGGATCCGAGAGGTCACGGAACTAAATGGCTTGCGATGATAGTGGACACGGCTCAAAATGGAAACCAGAAACTATGAATATTTGGTCATGTTACAGTATTTCAAGAGGAAAAGTCAATTACTGCCACCTCCTGTGGATCTAGGCCATTTTGAAGGCTCCCGGCACTTACGCAACAATATTTCTCAGAGTGATTCTAAAGGTGCGAATTGAAGGCTACCAGAATTTCGATCCTTGAACGATTGATAGGCTTCGATGTTTCAACAAGGAGCTGTGGGAACGAACCAATCAAGAACCTATCACCCAACAAATATGCAGAAGGAAGTGGAGATGGATTGGGCATACACTGAGAAGGCCAACTGGGGACATCACACGTCAGGCTCTCGAGTGGAATCCCCATGGGAAGCGACGAGTTGAACGTTTGAGGGGAGGGTGACATGGAGGAGGTCATATGAGGAGGAAATGAGAGCTTGTGGGCTGTCGTGGAGCCAGGTTCAAAAGATTTCGGCGAACAGAGTTCACTGGAGACGTGCTACTGAAGCCCTATGTTCCATTAGGAATCCAAGGGATTAATAATAATAAACAATAGTCCTCATATTATCTGTCTTATTTTTTCAAATCTTCCGCATTACCTTTATTTTCAGCTTATGAAAACAGCAGAGATCTGTGATAATCACAAACTGACGCATGTGCATAGGAAAACTGTATTTACGGTCTGTGTTTTCACCTGGCCAATTACTTCGGCTTCTTCAACTTGCCATCCTCGTTAGATTAGCTTCTACATGATTTTATTATCATTGTTATTTTTTCCTTAAATTGAGCTTGATGTTATTTCATTTGGCATACTTAATAATAATAATAATTTTCAATCAGAAAATTTGTTTTAGTTAATTTCACTTGTTGTTTTCTTATTGACGCATATTTTGTTTTTTTTCATTGTTCGACAAATTTTACTCTTATTTCAAAATTGTATGCACTTTATGCACGATTCAAAATCTCTTATGTAGCACTTTTTGAGTTTGCCAAACTTATTGACGTATAACTTTTAAGCTAAACACTGAATATTTGTGTTCCCTAAAAACTAGAAGGACAAACTGAACGTTGTTATATCTTTATATTTCTCTCTGTTTCTCATAAATTTTCGCTTGGAAAAGATGAAAAGATTTTGTTGTTGTTGAAAATATTCGTTCATGTTTTTTTCTGAATCGTTTACACTAAGCAAACTTGTGTTTAAAAGGAAGTAGTCATCTAAGTAGAAGTATTAAATTAAAAAAGCCTCATAACCACATATAATTTCATGCATTATTTGTTGAATTGTTGCTCAGACAAAAGACAAGCTACCCAGTTATGCTGCTTCTATGTGGATTTATCAGTTCAACTGTTCCTGTGGAGAAACCTATATTGGGCATACAACTAGGCAGCTTAACAAACATTTTGCTAAGCACCTACCGTTATGGCTAGGAAAGGGACAAGTGAAGTCAATACAATGCTTAATCCTGTCACATTTAATTGACAGTCATCATGTAATAGACAAAGCCAAAGCGTTCATCTATCGCATTCCACAAAATCTTCCGAACAGAATTCGCATTTGCATTTTGCATATAGTTGAGGGTATGGGAATAAGAGAAAATAAACTTAGTCTTTGTGTACAGAAAAAGTTTGTGCAGCCTTTATCAATTGACCAAGGAAACTATGTCTCTTCTCCTCAATGAAGACACAAGCCTTACAGAACGCACAAAACTTAAATGTTCAAGTTTGACGAAACTCATCGACCTCTGTCTCACAACATACTTCCAATTCAACAGGAAGATATACAAACAGATGAAAGGAACTCCAATGGGATCACCGATATCCGGATTGATTTCAGAAGCAGTGATGCAGAGACTGGAAGCCATCATCCTACCTATGATCAACCAAAATTCTGGATTTGCTATGTGGACCACACTTTTGTCACCATTAAAAAAGATGATATAGAAAACACCCACAGTTTAATCAACTAGGTTTTCAGTGACATCAAATTCACAGTGCAGAAGGAGTCAAACAAACAACTACCATTCCTGTATGTTCTAGTCAGTAAAACAAATACAGGAAAGCTGGAAACCCAAGTGTACAGGAAGTCAGCACACACTGACTAAATCCATCCAGATCGACCTAGGACCAGACATTACTGCGTAACAGTCCAAGTTGCCACAACTCATATCAGTACATCAAGTAAAAAGGCAGTGAGACCCAAGATCAAGATAAGAGAAAGCAGTCAAAGAAATATAAAGTAAGAGAAGAAAGAAAGGAAGAATGAGAAAATGGTGAGATTCGGTATAGCGTCGTTAAGATGGGAATAATGTGTGTATACATCCACGCCATTGACATCGGTTCCCAGCCATATCCCCTAGAATCTCCAGCCACTGGTTCCTCTTGTCCCATGGACCCCAACCGTCTAGTCTACATCGCCACACATGACTCAGACCAACAGTCAGAGACTTCATACATTGATGACATGTTTTAGTCTGGCCACCTCGGGCCTTTTTCCAGCCTGGACCTACTTCGGCCAAGATTGTGTGACGAGGCAGTCGGCGACTAGGCATATGTGACAAGTGTCCCAACCAACCATCTCAGTCGACGAAGGTTCAAACCTTGTCAACTGATTAACCTCCAATTCCTAAAACTCTACTCCTGACTTCTACTTTACTCACTTGGTGACACCACGGAATACGGAGTATACTACGAAGGCAACGGTGGTCAAACACCTGAAGCCAGCCTTCTCATGTCTTCCACTTTCAATGGCCATGTTTCAGAGCCATACAGTAGAACAGAGTGGATCGCTGTGCAGTGCATGCGACCCTTAGTAGGCAATCGGATATCACGGTGGTGCCATATATGACCTAGGTTGGCAAAAGCCAGTCGAACCTGTATTCGTGCAGAGATTTCATCGACCACTGAGCCACCAGAGCAAGGGTGATCCTACTTCCCAGGTAAGTGAAGTGGTCGATACACGCAATCACTACATTCTCTAATGTTAGCCGTGGCACCGTTGAAGACCAATCCTGAAGAAATAATTTGCATTTGGGTGGTGAGAAACGCATCCGAAATATTCTCAAATTCCCACTCAGTGTTTAGAAGACTGCATCTTGTCAGCGTTTTCATCTAAAAAAATCTACGTCATCTTCATATTCTGGGTTAACGAAAATTCTCCGCAGTAGCAACAACATAAAATCAGTTACCTGCAGACTCTATTCAAAGAGCGAGAATACACTGCAGCACAACAACTTCAAGGAAATCGAAGAAAATTACTTGATGTCCACCCTAAAGAAGAACGGCTACACACGAAACTTTATCAGAAGATACCTATCCCGTACATCATCACCTACAAAGTCATCGACAGAAATCAACAAACGTATCGTCCTAACATACATCAAAAATGTATCAGGAATTACGACAAGATTACTGAGACCACTTGGAATTGGTGTGGCTCATAAACCAACTAATTCTCTCCAAACACGATTGTGCAGACCAAAGGATGCAACAAGCAAAGAAGACAAACAGAGTATCATTTATGAAATCAACTACAATAACTGTAGTCAACACTATATTGGACAAAGTGGCCACCCTCTTCCCCTTCGTCTACATCAACACCTATTGGCCATTAAACCTCACTACATTTTATCACTCATTTCAATACATGTGGACAATTATGGACATGAATTCAATTTCGACAATGTAGACATTTTCGATGGAGAGAGGAAACACAAAGAATGTCAGGGAATTCCCGAAGCTTGGCATTCAGATCAGTCAGCAATCAACAGATGTATAGGCATAGATTCAGTCTATCAACCAATAAGAAAAATGGTAAACGACAGAAAGGTGAGAGGTCAAGCAGAGGGACAGCCAATTGGAAAATCTATAGAGACAATGACAATAATCGAAGGAAACGACCAATCGCAGACCACTTCGTCAAGGCAAGCTACTGAATCACTCACTCACGGAGAGATATTGACAGCTCACTTCATACTGAAGCTAGTGTTATTGATGTCGTCTAGCAAGACGATGAAAGCTCCACTATTATACAACCCAGCTCAGAGAACACAATAGAACCAAGGCCATGCACCTGAGCTACAAATATTCCCCACTATTTCAAAACCTAGTAAATAACTTCAAAGATCAATCCAATTTTCATCCTCTTCTCCTTTCTTCACCCCTTTCATACTTGTTTATTTATTTTTTTTAGACTTTGATTATCTATACATTTCATCCTTTAGTATTACGTAACTTCCATTTTCCTGATTGACATTGTTTGTTAGATGTTTGCAGTATCGTGCTGTTCCCATTATTCTTATCATCATTGAGATCTTTATTATATTATTACCATTATTATTATGATTGTCTGGATATCTACTATTTGCATGCTTCATTTCCTAATTACCACAGACTAAATAATCCGCCATGATTGGTTTAATGTTTTATATATGATAGAATTTGTGTATATTGCCGTAAAGCCTTATGAGAGCTAATTGAAAACAATATTGTTCGCTTATATGTCTTCTTCGAATAGCATATATTATACGGATATTAATGTGATACTACCTAATTTCTCAAATTTCGGAAGGATAGGTGGAGTGAGATTGGAAGCCATGACACTAGTTCTTGTGATGCAAGTGCATATATCAACAAACAACAGGTCTAACTCAAATATAAATATATTTCTATTAGAAAGGTTCAAACGTCTTTCACTATCTTGTTAGGAAGGCCGTAAATACTTGATATCATGTTATACTTTATTCATTTCAAAAATGGAAAGGTACACTGACGATTCAAAGTATTGAAAAAGCTGTACTGTCTTTACTACTCACCAAAAGACACCTTAAGAATCTAATTAAAAATAGATGCACGCATATATACGCTACTTTCTAAGGAGGTTACTCCAGTGAGTCATTAATAAAGCCAACCCGGTACATGGACACCATGAAATACATCACAAAATTTGGGTGTAATGCAACTCAAACTGATGCAGATCTTTATGTACTAGGTTTTGAGTTACACTTTTTGTGTTACGGTCTTTGATACTATCCGGCTGCTCAGGTTGAAGTAGATCTAGTTTGTTTTTAAAGCCGCTCAGAAGATTCATAATTTACTCAAAACAATTCTCACTGATGACACTAAATGATGACTGTGGTACCGGAAAATACGGACCATTGGATTTAAGATGAGTAAATAGCAGTATGCTCACCGCATGACCTGGTCGTCGTGAGCTCAATCTTCATTTGAGTTAATAGTAAGTATTGCAAAAGAATCCTAAACTAGGACACTTCAGTTATCTAGTACTTTCTGGTTTTCAGTGGTTCTCTGACTAATATAACTCTGCGATGATCACTTTCCAGTCAACTGATTCCGAAGAAAATCCCTCTCAATTGAAAATAGAAAACTTCTCTTTTCAAGGTATTCCTTTTATATATATATATGAATAAATTTTAAGAGGATGAAGATAGATAAGCAAAGATGAAAATGGTAGATATTTTTAGTATAAGTACTCTGTCGATTTCTTTCACACACAATATGTAAAACTATTTGGAAGTAATATGAAAATTAACACGCATTTTTGTGAAATGAAAAACAACGAAAATACACATTAAAAATGAAATAAATACAAAACAATACGAGAATAAAAGCGGAGAAAATTTCTCATAACAATATATGAAGAAGAAACAACATAAAAATGATAAAAAACGAAGCGGATAATACACATTTATTTGCATGTCGATTAATTAGTTATGTGGGGTGATGTTGAGTTATGTTGGTGAGAAGTATCGTCTGGAAACTACACATAAACAAATAAATTTACATAAATTAGGCTTTTATTTTCACAACATAAATGCAACAGTGTTTTGTTCCCTCTTCTCATTAGATCTCAAGGCTTGAAAAACTAGAGCTATTATTACTACTACTACCAACACTGCATAACTGCTAATCTGTTGAAGACATGACCGGCGCTTCACTTATTGTCATGTTTTCTTTTTTATCTATATAGATAAAGAATTTCAATAAAGCGCTTATATCTTACCGCATAAATTTAAACATGATGATATTTTAGTGAATTTATAACGTGAAAATAATTTCTGAGGATAAATAACAGAACAACCATAATTGTGTGCACAAACTATACCACCGCGTAGTTTATGAATTGATGATGCTGGTGATGTAACAAAGGAATGTTTTGAGAACAATTTCGTCTTGTTATCTTCACTATAATGATGATTGTTATCATCACTTTTGTGAGTGGGATGATTTGTATTACTTTGTTGTTGACTTCGATGAAAATGCTGACTAGTGTTCACTTCATCATTGTACACTGGTTGTATCGCCATTATATGACATTTTTTCGTTTGATGACTAACATATTAAAGGTTAAACGTTGTACGCATATAGCCTTTTCAATTTTTGTTATCCAATACAAATCATTATTCGACTGATCCAACAGAATAATACGATTATCTGATGTGTATATGATATGTCCAGGAACAATACCGAAAGAGACACTTGGTGTAAAATGAAAGTATCCATCAACATCAATATCCAGTATTAAGACTTTATCTTCAGTTGGACATGTTGCCCAAATAGTTTGTTCATTCTTAGCATAACATAAAAAGTAGGGTGATAATTGTGGATCATTCAAATACCATGTACGATCTATCCTAGTTAAATCATTCGACTTTAAACGACATATAATTGCATTTGCTGGTTGTGCAACATAAATATCCCCATTCGAATGATCAATATCAATACCAAAAATAATAGGTTCATTTTGTCTTTCTAAACCAACTGTATCACGATAAAAGAAACTTGAAGTTGCTACAATTGGGAAAGGATTAGTTGCAGTATTTTTTTCATGATTGTTATTATTGCTACTGTTACAATTGATTAAAGTAGTATTATGATGCATCTCATCAGAAACTTCACAACATACCAAAATGCCGAATTCTGATCTTTCTATGGTATCATTTTCATTAGATGCTGTCGATGTACTGGGCGTGATAATCCCACTTAGATAGACAAGTGAACCATGAAAACGAAGAAATTGAATTCTAATCGGATTTGAATTGTCAACAATAATTTGACTACTGATTTGATTCAATCCATGTTTATTTGATGAATGATTGATACTGAAGAGTTCATTGTCAAAATGTAACTGTTGTCGCCATAGTAACAATTCATCACGATCTGTATTTGTTGTCAGTGTACATCGTTGTACACTTGAATTCTCTCCATTCATAGTTAATAATTTTAAATCAATCGGTTGATAATTTTCACCTGGTCGCATAATACAACAGTCTTTTCCTTTAGTAAGTACATGAAATTTTGAGTTACGTTCCATCATTATACGTATACCTTCTGCATCACGATATAATACATATGATGAATTATCCATAGGAAGGAGATCACTAGATATGGAACTAAGTGTAATCCTGCGAATACGTGATGCAGCAGCATAGAATCTGCCCAGATGACGTGTTGAATTAGTAGGTGAAATAGTTGATGGTGTACTAGAACGTGGATTACTTTGATTACTGTTCATAGTAGTGACGACATTAGCACTAGGAGGCATTGTGTTGCAACCAATATTATCATTTTTATCTAATGAATTGGAAATGTGTACATTCAAAGGTTGATTAGTAGTAGGAGCAGGTAATGTTGAGGCAGTGTTTGTTGGTTGTAAATTTACCAGAAGTTTATTAACTTCATCAATTATAACAGCTCGATCAACAGCACTCATTCGACCATCACGTTGTTTAGAAGCAATATCATCGACAATATAATTTAACATTCTAGAACTGACTTGTATGGATGTTTTACGAACAGGCGGTGGAGTTTTGTTAGCTACTTCATTTTGTTCTGTTGTAGCAGTATTACTACTATTGGTGCTATTCATACGTGAGACAAAATTGTTGATATGATTATTCTTTAAAAATTCTAATATTGCTTTATGATTAAAAGCACTTGGAAAGGAATCAGCCTTGCGTGTAGCTGGGATTGGGCACAATGCTCGACATATTGGACATGGAAATGATGTTCTTTCCTTAGACTTATTATAATTATGATTACCAGTCAAGATATGGTTAGAATTGGTATTATCAGAATTAGGAGTAGTAGACACAGAGTTATTATTTGATGGTTGTAACTTTTCCATATAATTGTTTAAACATTTGCAACAGAATGCATGACCACACGGTAACAATTTAGGATCATCGAGGAAATTCAAATCAATTGGACACGTAACCATATCTTCTAATGGTTCTAATACAGATGAACTTGAACGTCTACATTTTTGAACCTATAGAACGAAACATATAAAAGAAAATAGATGAATTTTAACAAACAGATTTAGAGAATTACATATATTACTTGAATTCGGATTATATAAAACCTTTCTATTCCTTCATCTCAGCATAGAAATCACTACATATGACTTGGTCATAAGACACTTAACTGAAGTTCATGGCTCAAAGAACACAACTCAATAAGGGATTCATCCATAACATATACAATTTTCAAGGTTCGTGTTTACTAATAACCGCTAATTAGGGGAACAGTGATTGTGTAAAGTTTATCCATCTAAAGATTACGCTCGTGCTATTTCTTACCACAGCTTCAATAAACTACGATGTCTGGTTCACAACTTATGTCTTATAAGAAAGAATTAAGTACAAGAAATAGGTAAGTGGGTACTAAACGCAGTAGAAATCTAGTTCATAAACCTGAATGGTATGCGTTACCAGGGAAGTCTGAAATAACTCATAAATACATTCCATTATAGATTTCATTGTATGCTGGTGTATGTTCCAGTAGTGGGTAGAGACACATGCGCAAATTAGACATCAAGTGCAGCATGAGTATATCTGCTTCGTGGGATGTAAAGTATGAATAAAGATGAATTTCGAATATTTATTAATCACAGATAAATAATGCCATTGGCTCTCAGATTGCTTAGAATTCGCTAGAACACATCACCATTCTATTGATTTGAACGTTTTCGACTGATCAAAATAGTGCATTACTACAACGTGATGCCTACATAGAGACACGTTGCTGCACTTCACAGCAGTGCAAAAACAACAGGTGGATAGAAAAGGAGTGATATCAAAGTAGGTAAAGTTGTGTGAGAGAATAAACAATTTGAAAAAAAGCTTAGTGCGAATACTGAAGCTTTAAAAGATGTCAAGGAATGAATAAATCTGCGCCATTTAAACTGATTTCCAGCCGTGTAACCAAGGCTCCTCAACCACTGATTTCTACCATCTCAGCGACCCCAAACAGGCAGTCTGCATCTCTCCATACAACTCATACCACTAGTAAAAGACTTCATTGACTAGTGGTATGTCTTAATCTAGCCATGCTGAACTTTCTTCTAATCTAATCCAACTTCTCTCAGTATGGCATGCCGAGGCATGCACAGTTCATGTCCAACACATTTCAATCAACTAAGATTCACAAGCTTATCGGTCAATTTGCTTATCTTGCCAAGTAGGCTTGGCCTTACCTCAAAATTGCTCACACAGTGATCCCACTAAACGCCAGCAATGCTACGAAGATATCTGATCAAAACTCTGTAATCGCTTCATGTTTTCCACTTTTAACGGCCATGCATAAATTCAAACTACCACAGATTTGAATGACAAACAGACACAAGATTATCAACAACAAAAAATACACAGAAACAAGGAAAACAGAATCTTAAGTAGTTCTATGGAACCTGATATACAGATACTTTCCCAAAACTGCTGTATAGAGCTACGAAATCTACTATGGATTTATACCTGCCATTTTGTTCCTAAATGATTCCATCAAGTTCTACAAAGTCCAAAAGTCAGTCATCTTTGAGGTGTGGCAGAGACTTACGCTTTTTTTCTCTAGAACAGAACCGATGAAACAATAGGATGGATTCATATCATCCTGCCTCTGTATTTTTTCTTACTCGTTTCAAGCATTCCTAGTAGCTTTTGCCAGTAGTTGAACACATATTCAGTAAGGTAGGTCTTTTCTACTAGCTGTTTAGTTTACTGAGCCGAATTGATCTGTTTTTGTTGGTTTATCGATACTACGATACTGCCTTAAATTATTGCCTGTTGAATTTGATGGGTGCTGGATATAAATAGTCTTGAGAACACCACTACTCACCGCAATACAGGTACATACAGCAAATGAGTTTATCATATGGTAGAAAATGTATGTCTTCAATTTCACTGCTGGTCAAAAAGTAAATAAATTAGTAATCTTTCCCATAAATATTGTGCAACATAACTGCTCTAGGATGAAACAGCTGTCCAGTGCTCCCAGATTTTCAATGGTTCCCCAACTGACGTCCGTTCGTGATGAATACTACCTCTAAAAAATTGATCTTGTTCGTTTTCCTTCCCATTACAGTAGAACTGTTGACAGCCAATTTCTCCTCAAGTTTATCACTTCATTTCTACCTTTTAAAGCCACACAGAATTGTTCATCTCAGATACTGTTGACTTAACTTAGTATTAGTCTGTGTTTATTTGATAACCCTAAGATTCTGATTGTTTATTCGTCGCCTAGTAGGTTCTATAGACATCAGATTCAATAAAGCAACTTTCTTTAGATAGTAAATTAGCACGGATTAGTCGTAAAATCTTTAAAATTATCACTGGAAGTTTTTCCAATTTATTTAAACCTTGTTTGCATTCATTTCAGTTATTGAATTTTGTTCAAGTCATGTGGTTGTACTTTTAGAGTCAAGTGACCTTAGGATGAACTCAGTATATCTATGTTACTTCGTATATGGACAATAGTTTTAATCGATACTAAATAGTGTTCAAATTTAACCTCCGTCTAGAGTTACTGAATAGATTTTATTATTTGTATTACGTGATATTTTCAGGAAAATATAAATCGATCATATTTCAACTGAGAATTAACATGTAATATGTGCATGCATGATGCCATAATATGCATTGAAAATTAAAATATTCGTTCACATTTCGGTTCATCATTACACCTGAAGGAAGAAGCATTTACAATCATGCATAAATGTTTGGTAGAAGGAAGGTCAATAATGCAGCTCAGTTTTTCAAGCCCACCGAAGTAAGGGAGGCACTGAACTCTTGATACGATATTTGACAGTCAGGTGTCTAAGCCATGTTCCCACTGTAGGAATAATAAAAGCAACAACTATTCAGTATTCCTTTCAAAAGTTACTCCTGGGATAATCAAATCTCATTCATGTAATTTTTAAAGAAACCAATAACATTCACCGACAACCAGTGTAATTCAGAGATTCCAAAAGTTCACTATGAAGCTGAGTGTGAGTGTCCGACCGGGTATTTCCCATAAAATCGATGAAAATTATATCTAGAACATACCAGGAATCATTTGTGCATGTTTAGATATAACTTAATCGGCTGAATTCGATCAGCACGAAGTGCTTGCAGAGGATGAAGGTCTGATCGGCAAACCCATGGACATTTCTATCTGCCTAGTTTTCTTAAAGTTCACTGTTGCCAAGTTTCACCTTAAGTTTCTTGTGATTATAGAGTCTAGGATATTAGACACTATGCTCGTCAGACTGATTCCTATGTGGTTATCACGGAAAGATTTTTCCCCGTCTCTTGAAGACTGCGACAATTATTGAGATGAGTCACAGGGGACCGTATCTGACTGTGATGCGCTAGCTAACACTTCAGTTAACCTAACCCATAACCGGTGACCACCGTCGTTAGATACCTTTTACGCTACCTCATCTGATCCTGTCACCCTTCTTTGTCCTAGGTTAATTATAGGCTTCTCAACTTGAGTCGGAGGGCCTATTTAATTGTTCCATTTGGGATTCAACTAATACTGGGCAAAGGAACAGTAACTGGAGTTCAGTTGCACTTTTCCTCGAAGCATTCCATTCATCCTTCAAGGTGCTTCCTCTACCAGTGAATGGCAGACCCATTCTTCCGCGATATGGTATCACTAACCATTCAGTTTCGTATCGCAGTTTTCCTTATAAGCCTTTATTGCTGTTACTATTAGCTACCACAACTGTCTTTTCCATCTTCTTTAGCGTTCACCACCGCTCACTATTGCGTAAACTCTTCATCAGACATATTAACTCAAACCAAACATTACCGAACAGCATTGTGTTTTTGCATACTTTAATCTTGTGGTAGTACCTTTATCAGTAATATTACTTTTTTTCGATAGTGGACTGGCTAGTGATATGGAATCGGAGGATTGTAGTTCAGGTGTTTCACTTTAAATTGCTTTGAAAAGCCATACAAGCTATAGATTATATTTTTGACACACTACTTGAAATGTGTATGTAGTGTTCGAGAAAACCACTGAATTTTGCTAAGGTAAGCAATATAAAAATTTACATTATAATACTTGCAATCTACCGTTACTGTACAAAGCAGAATTGCTCGACGTCTGTTGGCAGATGGGCGGAAGCCCCGATACTGCCGAATATTCATGGTGGTATATTGATTTTGGAGATTAGCAGTGGAATCCAGGATGCGGGTTTCGTCCTAGCTGGGACTTGTAAGCTAGATGTACCCTCACCCCACTTAGTGATCTTGTTCCCACTGAAACTAGAACCCGGTACCCATTATTTCAAACTCCAAAGCCTTATCTACTAGGCCACTGGGGCATGAGAGGCACCTCTTGTGCAACGGGTGAAACTGGACTTACTGGAGTGCAGTTACATTCAGCTGACGAGCCTCAAATAGGACGAGATGTGGGCTCTGGATTCCACTGCTAGTCTTCAAAATCAATATTTGCATCATAAGTTTTGAAAATGCCGTCCAAAACAGAATCAAAATACTCGATTTGACAGGTGCGGAGTTTTACTTCAAATGTTCAGTTAAAAATCACCCAACAACAAGAGTTTAACTAAAATTAGGTAGTTTTTCAAAAGTTCCTTGTTGAGTATTATAACCAAGTCAATCAACTACTATTATTTCTACCGATCTTTTCAACGCTATTCATGTGAAATGAGTCTATCAATTACAGTCAAAAAGAAAATGTTGACAATAACGCATTCTTCCGTAAGTCATAATGGTTTCCGAACAGAATTAGTGGTGTGAGGGTAGTTATAAACCATTTAACCGATGTAAGCGAAGGTAGTCGATAGACTGTAATTAACATTTAGGACTTGATAGTTGTATTATCAATCATCGGTTGACTGCATCATATACACAGTGACAATTTTATTTTATCAGCCTATTTTTAATCCATCTCAACTGAGCAACCACGTCCATACAATGGGTTATGAAACTTGATGATACTATCTGGTAGGCAGAATGAAGTGAGTTACAGCTGAATGAC